TACTTGAAAAGATAATTCGGGTTAGGTTACTAAGTCACATAAATTTGCACAATCTGTTAACTTCCGAGCAACATGGATTTTGTAACAAGCGTTCATAATTGACAAATTTACTTGTAGCGAGAGAGCATTGGACAGGAACCTCAGATAAAGGTCTGTCTGTCGACGTGATATTCGTAGATTTTAGCAAAGCATTTGACAAGGTTTCACACTTAGGTCTGAAATAGGGAACCTTTTATGTGATCGCAGACAGAGAGTGAAGGTCAATGAAACGCTATCCGATTGGAAGCCGGTCAAAAGTGGTGTAACCCAAGGCATTATCTTAGGCTTTCTACCTTTCCTTCTTATGTTAATGAATTACTGCTGTTGCTTGGGTCGTCGACATTATTCTTTGTGGATGATTTCCAAATCTGGGGAACAATGAAAAGTGAGGCTTATCAATATGATCTTCAAGCTGAATTAGACGATTTAGTTGGATTAGCTCGAGGTTGGGGGTTCGGAGATGATTCTTGGAAGAGTGTGTTCATGCACTTCAGACACAGTAATAGTTACCATCATACTATTGGTGGTGTATGTCTTCCATGCGCTCGAGAACATAAGGGCTTCGGAGTAACAATAAGTCATGTTTTGAAAACAACTACGCATTGCAACACAGCTGCTGTCAGAGGTTTTCGCGCGTTACGGTCAATTCGACGAGTATTCAAATGCTTTGACGAGGAAATGTTTGAATTTTATATCCCAACTATGTGACACCACACTTAGAGTGCCGTATTCAAGCGGCAAGCTTATGTCTGGTAGAGAATACTCGAGTGTGTCAAGCATGTGGGAACAAAATTAGTGAAGGGATTTTCTAAACTCCCTTACGATGAGCGCTAAAAAAGCGCCTGAAGCTTTTCCCTTTGTCGTATCTTAGGACGTGAGGTGAACTTATGCTGGCATTTCGCATCTTTAATTGTGATTTGTGTGTTAATTTTTCTTATCTCTTTGCTCCCTTCAGAACTATTATTCTTCGAGGTCATAGCAAGAAGGTTCACAAAGAGCGATTTATAAACTTGAAGTGTGGTCCCGCATTTCTCATCGAATAGTCAATGACTGTGAAGATGCTGCAGGTGTTTGGAGTTTGGCAATGCTTTAACTAGTGACACCTTCCACTATGAATTGTACCCACCAAGTGAAATCAAAAGGCAAAAGCGAGGAGGTCTGAAGATATATTTGATAGGCTATCAATATATCGACGATCGAGTGATCTAGACTGGATAGCGGTTGCAGGGGATGGTGAGTACGGCGCCCCCACTCGTGATCTCGTGCGGATGCATGAACGACCCTTTCAGCTAGGCGAGTTCCTTGAAAATAATGTGGTCAGCATCCAATATCGAAGACCTACAGAGCTATTTTGAGGATTTATTTACCGCTAAAACTGGAACGCCTTACTCGAACAAGTGGAATCATTCACATTAGTGAATATTTTTAAAAAGAAGCTAGATATTAACTGGAAGGCAGCCTGTCAGAGTGAACACAGGTTCACTAATATGCTATCCTTTTTAGTGAAGAGTGAAGACTGATTTGTTTTGATAGCCCAATTTCTGTTTGGCGCTTACCAAACAGGTTGAATACATGTGTTGACTGTAGGTGAGGTAGCTTCGTAGTGTCGCTTCACTTTTTATACATTTTATCGATTAACAAAATTTTAAAAGCAGATTATAGATGAAATGCCTTTTTGTAGTTTTGCATGCTAATAACTATACACATTGTGGTGAGTCGATATGGTACTACAGGGACCAGTAGGATACTTTACGTATAGGTAAAGAACTTCTATAGAAGTTCAAACAAACTATAGTTGAAAATACTAAGTGGCCATAGCCTTCTCATAGCTTTAGAAATGCGAATTATTGATGCTTTCGATACACTAAGTGATTTCCATCGTCTATTGTCCAACCAGTTCAAACAACATAGAAGTACTCATCGGTGTTTCATGGGTAGCACTAGAAATCACGTTGGAACGAGTCATTTATTGGTAGCGTCTTGCCAGAATGCACCTAACCACGTACTAGCCGTGGACTTTACCTGGTGCGCTTTTTATAACATTCACAACATACCTTCAACCCAATTTTGGGGAAGGCGCTATTGAAAATTCTATTAATAGAGTGCGTCAGATGCTAGCATCTAATATCGCTGCGTTGACTTGCAAAGTGTTTATAATCCACAGTGTGCTGGATTTTGCGTATTCTGTGTCAGGAAATCCCGATAAAGACTAAAGTTCACTTGTTTTTCCCCCATTTTGAATCACTTGTGTAGTAAAGATGTCCATCTCCTTATCTCTGGCAAAATATGTTGCGAAATGACTCATGAAAATCTATTACTTTTAGTTCCAGTCCGTGTCTAGTGGAGGCAGTTATCCACTTCAGACAATGAACGCAGAGTTGCGCAAGACCATGGGTCGGTTGAAGTTAGACATTAGCACTATTTGATGTCGGCTTAGTGGTCTAGAGGCTAACCATTCGCCCGAGAATCCAAAAGTCATGGGTTCGGGTCCTGCGTACAAGATCGTGGATGGACGCTGCCGAAAAGTCCCATACTGGGACGAAGTGACCATCTAGTGCTTCCAGGTTTTCAGTGGTGGTCTAGCTTAGATCGACTCATAAATTCAGTCAATGAACTCTCATTTGCCCCCCCTCGAATTATACTCTTTTGGTCTCATTTCAACTGCTAATGGTCTAGTGTTTTGAATGATCCAAGCTACATGGTCCCTCGAGGTCTTACTGCGCCAAACCATCTCAAGTATAAAGTATGTCGTGAAGCATGAATATCACTCCTGACTTTCAGGCCTTAAAAAACCGTCATATTGTTTGACTAGCATCAAGCAATCCAGTCTTTCTAAATACAGAGCAGGTTCTACAGGTCGAATCCCACCACCTCGCTTTTAGAATTTTACGGTAAGCTTCAAAGATAACTTTGCTACTTTGCGTGATTACCTCCAGACTGTCCCGCGCCGGCCTTTGCAGTTCCTCTGAAAAGTCGACTCAACCCCTAATAATCAACTGACACCTAGTGTTAATTATTTTACAGTCAGCAACATTCGAATACACTCCGTAGCCCATCTAAAACAGAGCAGCGGTCGCATTTTGTCCTAAATTACTTTAGTACGCCCAAAGTCGTTCATAGTATGTTGTTAATCGTTATTAGTGACATTGTTACTTGGTTTTTTATACATCTGCGTTACATTTTGATTATTATTGTTTCTTCGTGGCTGCCAAATCCACATATAAACATGTTGCTGTCTCATATATAACAGTTAAGTAAATAATCATGCTCATTCACATTGTACGTGTTGTGAAGGTAACTAATGCACAGTTAGACGTTTTAGGATTATCGGTAGTAAGGCCCATTATACAATTTAACATGTGAGGCAAAAGCATCTTATATTTTTAAAGCTGTCAATTAGATTTCAAGTAAGAACAGTTATGAACTTACTCGACTTTGATTAGGCTGCTAGACAAAACTAAAGCAAAGAATGATACAACGTAGAGTCTGGGACATGTGCATCGGTCTAGGTTGGTACACCATATAAGCACGAGGGGATGAAATTATCGAGATAAAACCAAAAGCAGTAGTGTCACTGACAGCGAAAGTGATTAATATCGGAAAATAATCTTGTTCCATAGATATAAAAATAGACTAATTCACACTGTTATGTTTCGATTCTTTTTCATTTCCAAATTCTCCATTTTGTTCAGCACGTCAACAGATTTGAAAATCAAATCAACACATTCTTTTTACTATGACTTAAGCAGTACGATGTCATTAATACTTCTGACTTGACAGTTTGTAGCTTTGTAAATGGATCTGTAAAATGTTTCATACCATATACAAGCTTTCACGTTTAATAAGTGCGAATAACACCTAGCACACTATGACTTAATTACAATAATTTCAGTCTATTTTTGTACATTGCCTCTAAAGCACTTCATACACCGATAGATTAGATGTTAAGTAATAAGGTTTTTTAACTGAATAGTTTCTAATTTTTTTTATCTAAATGAAACGATTTTTGAGACAGTCATCAATCCTTACGACAAGGGGAAAATAAATACAACTATTCGGCTAAAGTCCGTATTGGCGAGGATATTCATGTTCATTTAAAGACATTAAAATCCTTGAGAAAATTTCCATTTCTAGATCACCAAATTACAGTCATTAAAGTTATGTCCGCGTCACGAGGATTTTGTTGCATATGTTCTTATGTGAATATGTAGATCTATATAATGCAACACTGCTGTTACACTAATCTTTTAAGGTTCATGTCAACTGCTTCCAAAATCACTCTAGGAGTTTCGTGTCTCTTTACATTGTCGACATTTGCAGGTGTACATATTTCTCAAGCTCTTGAACGTGAAGTAGGTTGCTCAAATTACTAAACTTAAGTTTGTAGAAGCTTGGTGAGAACGTGCGCCGTGAAATAAAACGTGAAATCCAAGAAGAAAAAAGTTCCGTATTGTATGTTTCTTTGCATAGCTTTATTTTTTAGATCTACCAGTGATGAACAACTCGATGGCTCTAAGTGATACAAGAGTAGTATCTGATGAACATAGTCTTTCTGTCAGCGTTTCATTCGACAATCCAAGCTTCGCAGAAGTTGCCATGCGCTCACTTTCCGTGGATCCTTCTCCTCCACGATCTACAGTTAAAGAACAATTAAATCAAAAGGGGTCCGACCTCATCTGTACATTTTTCGCCCCTGTCAGTGTTAGCAATAGAAACCAGCAGTTACGAAAATTGCGTATTGCTGTTAACAGCTGGCTTGATAATGTCATTTTGGTTTCAGAAACAATCAGTGCGTTTGGAACAATGGACTCAAATTTTACATCTGAGCGAGCTATTAATGGCTTTTAATTAGTTTTATTAGTTTTCTGCAATATAATCTAGTGATACATATCAAGTTTTTGATTTGTACTCATAAGGCACATAACTAGATAATCTCTTTCTTTTTAAGCTTTTTTTCTATCATGGAGTATGATAACGTTTTCCTGAGTGTTGCACAAAGCTGTGACAATGGAGTACAGGGATTGCTGGACGCCTTTTTCGGCTTCCTTTCCAGACGAACAGATTTTTATTATGGAGCTACTGAAAAAGATGCGAAGCGTTTAGTTCTTGAGAATTTTGCAAAACACAGGGTAAGTTTCCATTTTTAGGGTTACAGTTCTCCAAAAAGTTTCTGTTTTCTTTAACTGTATCTTTGATGTCCAATATTACTACGCATACTATTACTACCTCTATCACTCTGAGGTTTCTTGTAACAATGTTATTTATGATTGACTAACAAGTTCAATGCAAAGTGTACATAAACTAAAGCCAAACTAGAGGAATGTTATGATAAATGTATAATAAACAACTGGCTGGAAATGAGCATAAACATACTCAAAAGTTGTTAAACACGGAAACTTATCTAATTATATGTAAATACCCACAAAGAATGATTTGTATGGAAAAAATATCGATCAATCGTAATCAGTATAAACTCCACATGAACCTTCTTTAGCTAGTTGCCATAACATAATATAACGATAAAGTCACCTAGATGAATAGTAGCAAAGGGGGTAGAAAGAGTTGTATTTTCAGCAACAGTTGAAAAGATTGAACCTCGAAAATGTGGTTCAGGGGAACACGAATTCATAAAGTAACAGATAATTTTGGAATTAATCTAAAAAAAACTAAATGTATATGTGCCAGTAGACGGATTTGGGGCCACAGCTATTAAGTGTTCAAAATGAACGTGTTCATTCTTAGATAAACTTAGTTGTTATGATTTCACAATTTGCGAAAGAGCCCGATTTATTATAGTTAAAACAATTAAAGGTGCGGATCAAGCCATTTATTTAAATATTTACATTACTCATTAGGACGTCAGATAAAATGGCTTGAAATCGTTCTAAGTGGCGTGAATGCATTTGCTCTTTGTCTTTTTTTAGATCCTAAGCTTTACAATTACCTGGTACTTATTATCGCACGAATTCATTTTTTCTGCTCGAATTGTCTGTACCTAATGTTTTATACTACTACTACTACTACTACTCATAATGTTACTACCTCTAATATTTTGTGATTTCTGTTGACAATTTCATCTCTATGTTCTAATGTGATGTAGCAACTTGAACTGATGCACATATGTGCCAGAACTCACGTTGCATATGACGGACTGTATTCGATCGTATATTGAGGAGAAAATAGTCCCCGGTAGCTACTGACTAATCTGTTTCATCCCGTCAGCGTTTCGTGTTACAGTAATTCTTAGTTTACAAGATCCATTCAAAAGAGTAACGTATGTCGAACTGCTACTTTATGACTCATGCAATATTATATTGTGGGTGAGTTTGGGCACAGAGTTAACCAACTTTAAGTGGAACAGCATTATTCGCTTGTAAAGTTCCAGTTGTTTTTCGTTGCACGGTTCTATACAGCCGGTCTATCTTAACGGTCCATTTTTTTTTCAACAACCATGAATCAATAATATGTGAAGTACCATTCTTGAGACTTTTCCCTGTACGAATATTTTAGTCATGTGTATTGCTTTGATCGTTAGACTGTTCACCACTGCTATTCAAAGGCATTTGATGTTTTTTTCTGGGAATAAATAGGATGCTGCCTTAGCACGTCGTGAAGAAGAGAAGAAAGAATTACATGAACGAGATGAACGCGAACGTAAACGAAGAGAAGAAAAGAAGAAAGAAGCCATTAAGGCGAATCTTGCCCCTCCAAAGGAGTTAAGCAAAAGTTAGTGGTGTTTTTTGTCAACTGTAAGCAGTACAAGAGATATGAGTAATGCAAATTACTAAATTTATACGTACGTACATTGAAATCTTAAGTCATTTTCACTACTATTTAAAATAACGATATCAATCAGTTTGTCAAAGTAAACCTAATGGATTGGAGTTCGTATATTTAGATCATGTAATGTTAGAAAACCAGTAAACCATAGTTACAGTTGTGTAGACTGCATGTATAATAGAATGATGGATGCTATTGACCTCCAACTGCTTAGACGTCAACATCTGAAGAGAAGCACGTGATACAGTGGACAGCTAGGATACAGCTGGACGATCTAGACTTCGCAGATGATCTGGATCTTCTATCGTAAACGCAACAACAAATGCAGGAGAAGACGACCAGCGTAGCAGCAGTTACAGCAGTAGTAGGTCTCAATATACACAGAGGGAAAAACAAGATTCTCCGAAACAACACAACATGCAACAATCCAATCACAATTGACGGAGAAGATTTGGAAGATGTAGAAACCTTCACATATTTGAGCAGCACCATTGATGAACACGGTGGATCTGATGCAGATGTGAAGGTGCGGGTCGGAAAAGCAAGAGCAGCATATTTACAAATGAAAAACATCTGGAACTCAAAACAACTCTCAACCAACACAAACGTCAGGATTTTCAATACAAATGTCAAGACAGTTCTACTGTTGTACGGAGCGTAAACCTGGAGAACTACGAAAGTCATCATGCAGAAGATACAGGTGTTTATTAACAATTGTCTATACAAAATACTTCAAATCCGTTGGCCGGACACTATGAACAACAACCTACTGTGGGAGTGAACAAACCAGATCCCAGCGGAGGAAGAAATCAGGAAGCAGCGCTGTAAGTGGATAGAACCTACATTGAGGAAAGCACTGAAGTGCATCACAAGACAAGTCCTCACATGGAATCCCCAAGGCCAAAGGAAAAGAGGAAGAGGAAAGAACACATTACGCCGGGAAATGGAGATAGACATGAGAAAAATGAACAAGAATTGGATGGAACTAAAAAAGAAGGCCGAGGACATAGTGGGTTGGGGAATGCTGGTCGGCGGCCCATGCTCCATTGGGAGTACCAGGCGTATGTAAGTAAGCCCAGTATAAACTTCTTGGCAAATCCTCTTAAAATGGTAGTAGTTGGAAACACTAGGATATATTTTTCAAAATCAATCATAATATCACGTGAATTCAAGCACTTTCTACATTAGATCTAGCATTTCAATAATTCTATTGTAGCGCACCAGAACATTGAGTAGTGAAGCTTTATAATCTGACTATCTAGTAAAATATCTATTATCTTTGCTGTCGCTTTTTTAAAGGAAAACGTCAAGTGTTATCATTCGTTTTGTGTAATATTTAGCTGTCTGTTCATCAACTCTTTCTGTCTAATTCTCATTTTCTATACCAGAAGCTGATAATTTAAACGGTACAAATGAGGAACCGTCAGACATGCCCACACTACCACAAACAGAAGAAAAGCCATCACTTGAGAAAAGTGATCTGCCTAAACCAATCAAAGTTGGTTCGTCTCCTGATGATGAAGAAGATGAGGAGGACAAGGGAAAATTGAAACCGAATGAAGGAAATGGTGCAGATCTGCCAAATTATAGCTGGACTCAGACATTGAGCGATGTTGATATTAAGATTCCAACACGTGTAAGTTTTGTAATAAAATTGATATTGTGATACATTTTTGTTTTTCGTTCAATTGACTCATTCCAAAAACAATTATCATGAAGATAAGATTAGCGAATGCGTACGCAATGAATTATTTTAGTTATTTTAAAATAAGCTGGATCTTGATTCTCCGCAAGAATTATCTATCCTATGCTTAAAAAGTAATTTTTTTCACTATCGGCTCATACAATTCTAATTCTTTTTACTATTCTGTGGCATTTGAATAAAACGAAATTGTAAAGATTATTGCAGTTTGTTTTGTGAAATAAGAGGTGCTTTTAGCGAATCTTCCCCCCCCAACATAATTAGTTTTACAATTTATTTTGTCTTTATAATTAGTTACCACATTCCATCAAATCTCGCGATGTCTATGTTGAATTTACCAGAAAGCACATCAAAATTGGCTTAAAGAATCAGGAGCCCATTTTAGCTGGGAATTTGTATAATGAAATTAAGGTAAGCAATCATTCCTCATTGGATATTTTATTTAGGATTTGCTTTACTTTTAAACTATGAATAAGAACTATTCATTTGGTTTCGAAATCATGTTTAGATTCATTGACCAGACAATGAATTACAGTCCACTTTCCTATCATTCTCACTTTGATTACATTAAATAGAATGCTATTTATTTCCTAATATACTGATAGCGAATCAAAGACAAAGACCACTGATCTACAACTACAAATCCATCTATTACATGTAGAAGTCGAATAAAAGCTGTTCAATCAGCGAGACTTCACAATTTTCACACTATAATAATGAGGCTGCATGTACTGTTGAAAATTGACTCGCTTAAATGACTTTGAAAAGAAAGTTTCTGTTAACCTGTTAGTTCCTCATGTGTAGTGTAATATTACTTTTGCTAATAGATCTCATCTGAGGCACATGGTCATAATCTGTATTTTGACGGACAGTTTGCATAGCCTGTACTTAATCAACACAAAAACATAGACTAATGCTACTAATAATAAAACAAGCCATTCTATCCACTTTACGGGTCTGTTCTATAGTCTACCCAAGTTGTTTATGTTACTCATTTACTGACAAAAGTGAAATGCCATCTTTCTTAGACAACAACAGTCAATTTCATCTTCTATGTATTTTGGTAGAAAAATGAGAAAACGGAGTTGATCTGAAAAATGGATATTTCCGCCATACATTTTGAACAATATGATCACAAATATTTGTAAATGTAAACTAATAAAAGCCCATTTAATAGCCGAATAAATACAAAGTAATTACTGGAAATCATGGAAGAAGAAATGACGTAATAATGATAGGGAAAGAATAGGAAGTTGTAACACCATACTGGGTCTTAGAATAGGTAAAGGATTATCAAAAGCGATTCAAAGTTTTTGCACTCATAAAGGCGACTAAGTCTTCTACAAATCTAAGAATTCGTCCTTGATAATTCATACAGTACGTTTTAAAAGCTTCATTAAAGTCGATTTCATGTCCCATTTCAAATGTTTTCCTATTAATGAACATGGTTTTCTATTCCCTACGTTTTTGGAAGCATTTGATATTGATCCTGAAGCCAGTCATCTAGGTGCATGTTCCACAACCCATGGTTGGATTATTCGATTTCTCCTCTTTATGTATGTGAATTGTTAAATACTGTGAGATGTGACGCCATCGTCTATATGATGTCTAAACTTGTATGGGATCACGCTCGAAGGTTCTTCTATAACATTCTACTTAGCTTCCTAGTATTTTTTTTCTCGATAGTTGATTTTAATCTATCTAAAAATGATGTTATCTGACTCCAAAATAAAATTAACAAAAGTTTAAATAGTACTATATGTTAATTTCTGGTTATTTATTTACTCTGAAGAAGTGACCCACCAGCATTCTCCATCCAACCCTGTCCTGGGCAATCCTTTCCAATTGTTATTCATTCTTTTAATATCTGATTCTATTTGCCGATTTAAACATTATTAAAATAAAAGGTATCAGCTAACTCAATGACTTGGTGTCGCTTTTTGGAATCATTATCACTGAATGACCTTATTTAACATGAATGACAAGTCTTTGTATTTCACTGTAAGGATAGTAGATATATTCCAAGAATTCCAATAGTAATGTCTTTTAGGTACAATCTCTTTTGACTGTATGTAATTTGTGGTAAGTAGTATGTAAGTTATTATTTCGCTTATGGTTATGGCAACGTAACTAACGAAAGAAAAGTCGATCACGTTCCATTTACTACGTTTAGCATAATTTAATTTTCTTTCAATTGGGTTTGTAGTTTTTTTTTGTTGTTTAAAATAAGAGAAATACATTGGAAATGTTTTTACTAGGTTGAGGAATGTGTATGGAGTCTCCTGGATGGAATCACTATACTCGTCCACCTAGAGAAATCTAACAAAATGGAATGGTGGAGTCGTATCTGTGATGGTGAACCAGAAATGAATACACGTAAAGTTCAACCGGAAAATTCCAAACTTTCTGATTTAGACGGCGAGACTCGATCTATGGTTGAGAAAATGATGTATGATCAACGTCAAAAAGAACTTGGTCTGCCAACATCCGAAGATCAGAAAAAACAAGAAATGTTGAAAAAGTTTATGGCTGCTCATCCTGAAATGGATTTTTCTAAATGTAAATTTTCTTAAGTATATGTTAATTTGAACTGCTGACAAAACTCAGTCTTTTTGGTATTATTACATTATCAAAAAAGAAACTTTCACATTAAATATGGGTATTTTAATGTTCACAACTCTAATTTTGTTCGAGGGAAGTAAGAAAATCCAACTTGTTAATAATTTAGGTATAATTACTACTCTAATTGATTCGTCGTTAGAATGTTAGTTTGTATAGTCTGGATTTTCACTGCATATTGAAAGTTCTATCTAATACAAGGAGAAAGAATTACTTCGTAGAAAGATATAAAGCGTTTTTAATCTCGCGGTGTAGGGGCGAACAAAGTTTATACACATAGGCCTTCGTGTTCGATTCTGAGTCATGTAACCCAGAGTCTCCAACCATTAGTTACGATAATTGCGTGGACACTAACCAAGTAGGTAAACTGCATATACCAACATGACTCAGACCAAAATCTAGTGACTTTATGAACTGATGGTACGTTTTGGTTTAGTCACCCCTAACTCCCAACACTAGTCAGCATTGCGCGCCGTGGTAATCGGTGGTTGGGCATCCGTAATATGTGGCTCAACTATCTCGGTCGATGGAGATTCACAACCTTATCAACTAATGTATCATCATTCCCTAATACCCTGCAACTAACCTCACCATTACTTGCCACCCGGTGATCCCAGCAGATGCGAGCAATATTTCTGAGGCATCTGTGATCAAATTCTAGTAACTGCCGAATATCTTCAAGTCTTAATGGCCACGTTTCGAAGCCGTAAATTACAAGAGAACAAACTGCCGCGCAGTATACTCGTCCTTTTATTGATAGACGGACATCTCGCCTTCGCTGCGTGTGACGTAAGTTGGCGAAAGCTGAATGAGCTTTCTAAATCCGTGCACAGATTTCGTCAGACACCAACCCATTGGGACTGATTACACTTCCAAGACAGGTGAGGTTTTCGACGCGTTCGACTACTTCACTTCCTATCCTTAGTTCAGGTGTTGACGCAGAGCAGTCCTGAAGCAGCAGATTGCATTTAGAGGGAGAGAAGCGCATTCCAAACATTCTGGCATTGTTGCTTAGTGCTACCAAAAGACTGTATTTTATCAGCGTCTTCACTAAACAGAACTATATTATACGCGTATTCCAAGTCGGTAAGTTGACCTCCTGATGGGAGATCAATTCCCGAAAATTCAGTCGACGAGGACGGTATTTCCAGTAGTAGGTCTATAATGAAATTGAACTAAAATGAAGATAGTGGACAGTCTTGTCGGACATCACTTGAGGTTGGAAAATCAGATGACAGTTCGCCATAAGCTCCGACTCGACTGGTAGTGTTCGAGTAAAGACCCTTCACATAGTCTATGTACCTCTTAGGTACATATTTCAATGACAGACGCTGAAGCCAGCCTGAGTCTTTGTTGAGCGCCTGATAATTAATAAGGCTAATATTTTAGATGCTATATTAGTTAAACTAATCCCTCTGTGGTTACCACAGGATGGTTTTGACCCCTTTTCCTGACTGTCAAGGATTTCTTCACGCCTGAAAAACTCGGTTGTTTCTACCTAAAAGCATCTAATGACTTTAAAGTAGTTGGATCACAAATGTTTCCTAAAATAATGGTAGTACTAAATGAATATAAACAACTGCTAGATGATAACTCCTTACAGTATACCATATGGTAAGAGGTAATTGTTGTTAAATCGTACTACTTAGTAAACTCCCAGTTTGTGGTTGTTCATGGATTCGAGGAACTAGTGTACCACTGAATACTTTATTAATCCCCAACCGCTTATTGCAAATGAAAACTGTGATCGTATGGACCAGAGTAGCTGTACATATAAGTCAGAATACATATATATATATATATATATATATATATATATATATATATATATACAAGCTAAAATCAATCCTTCCGGATATTGCGCCAACCAGTCTTTGGAAAACAGTCTTTTCCAACCATGAAGTGCTCCATTTTCTTCGTACCGATTTCTTAATGCTTGGGGTGTTCGACTCCCAGCTACCATGTCCTTGATTCGAGACATGTCTTGAGTAAAATGCTGCTCCATGCTGAGTAATTTACACTGGAATGAGTCTTATTAACACAACTATCCCAAATAGAGGGTGTGCTGAAATGCATCTTCGGTTAACAGGCTATTTTTATTGAGAACTAATGGAACCCAACGACAGTTTGTACGTCCATATGGCAGTAGGGCTGTTCGTAGCTGTCTGAACCACAGTAAACGAAACTGAATTAATAAAACCATCACATAAATAAGCCATGAAATGTCAAACAGTAGCAAATATTTAACATGTTTCTGATTCTCAAGGATGATGGTTCCACCAAACGATTAGCCAACAGGAGACCCACCTACGATGTTCAAAACGTAAACTTTCAATTTTTATTTGTTGCAATACAAATGAGCCTTGTTGAGATACCTCTCCGTTTGGAATGTGCAATCACCAAAACAACTTATGAAGACGAAAATCAATATCGATTCATAGTGAATGTATGGTCAACTTTCAACACAATACTTGGTGAACAATCAATGCATTTTTACAATGATAAATGCTCAGTTCTTAAATCCTAATCATTCTAACATACTAACTCAAGTGTATTATAAAGTATACTGGAATCATCATTAATAAAGCTCCCATTACGAAAATGAAAGAAAAATATAGTAGTCCGGTTCACTATATGGAAGTCAGAATTGCAGAATATAAGCACAGCGCACTAACGTTTTACTTCAACAGCACTTAACAAGTCTGGACTGTAGATACAATAAAAGATACTAAACTTATGAATGAAAGATCGATAATAAAGGGATACTCATTAACGCTTATGAATTAGTGTAAATACAGCTAACATCGAAACCCCTCCTTAAATCTCTTTTGGAGAGCGTTCACATCGCTTTGCCATGAAGAGAAATAAACGGTATAATGTGAGACTAAAAATAGCTATCGAAAAAAACATCATTAAAAAGGAGGTGCAGATAGTTGGATTAGATATTTTACTCGATAAGAATCTAGTGTCTAGGTTAATTATACAGATGAGAAGTAATGGTGTTTAGAAAGTTTAATAACATTCAACACTGAGGGTCGTAATATGACAAAATATATCGGGGACAGTAGTACTTAGTTACTATTAATAGTACTTAAGTGGTAATTGAGTATAGTCTGTAGCAACAATATGTACCCGACATATTATCTTCATAGATTGTGAATTACTGTGAAAAATCACTACACGATTAGCTCGATTGTCCCTACAAGTGTGTGGGCGATTGTCACTTGTTAAATGTACATAGTGTGAAATATTTTCTATTCAGGAAAATGGAAAACATGATTGGCATTTTGGGGCTTGGCGATATCAGAACTCAAAAGACAAATGCTTGAGACCACTTACACAGTATCTGTTCTGAACGGTTATTTTTTTATATATTGGATTTTAGACTTTGTCACTCCCACCTAGAATTCTTGAGGCATGGTAAATTTCGCTATTTCGTTTTACGAACTCTCCTGTTATGTGAAGGCATTGTAGTTGAAGATGTTGGTTTTCCTCTGGAAACACTTCCTTGAAATTACAAGTAAGGACAGACCATTGTATTAGCATATGAATGACCTGTCAATGTGTGATATACTTATATACTATAATCCCTGATAAGCTTATGCTATAGTGAAACTGCCTGTTTATTTGCCGGACAAAATAAAAAAACCCACTTAAAAAAATGTCAGCAAGCATTAAAAAAGCGGAAGTGGAAAGACGAACACAATAATACTGACACCATTGCTGGACCTCAGTCGGATGATAACTAATGATGACAAATACTAAGTAACGTCTAGTGGTCTAAAATAAGAAGACCACCCGTACCAAAAGACTAACTGCAAATAAACAACTTTATGGGGACGACTTACATGTTTTCCCTAAAACAAAATCATAAATAAAAGTTAGTTACATGAACAATAAAAGCACAAAAGCACACTGAAGTCAGGAATTTGATCAAGAGACCTCGTATACCAGAAAACCCATGTTGAATGATTGTGAAAACAGAAGGTATGTACAAATCGATAGTTAATAAAAGCCACAATGACGAAGAAATGCACAACTTCAGCTTTCCAGTCTTATTTCTCCTTTGAAGCCATATGACGCATAAGCAGGGACGTCAATTTTTCAATTTTTTTGACGTCTTGAGCCATATCTGTGACATACTTCAACACCTATGCAAATACAATTTAAAATACCAACTCACTGTGTGGTTATCTGTTAATTTAACTACAAGCTTTCGGTCCACGTGTCTATACTTTGTACACATACGACACTAGAAATAAGACAGAATTTTGAACTGATTACTTTTGAAGGGTCTTCTAAATAAAGAACCTCAGCCGCCTTCGCAAACTCCTCCCATGAGTTGAAATTAGTCATGTATTGTGACGTATAGCCCTCGTGAGGTTCGGTTTGGCGTGATGAGACGTTATTGATGAATAGAATAAGGCGTCGTAACGGGGATCTGACATGAGAAAGCAGAAAAAGTAAGCCGATGAAAAACTAAGTAAACAGGATGCAATAAAATCTGAAAATGAAGGTAACCAAAAACACTTATCACCTTCAGTTTGGGAAGGACAGGAGGCTCGATGGCCTATGCTAGTCCTGGCAATGGTGGTCTCTCAGTTGATCCAACTTTCTTTTGAAAGAGTCGACGGATGGAGCCTCAACCACGTGCTGAGGTAATGAGTTCCACTCGTTGATGATTCGATGGGAAAGTCGATAGTCAGCTGACAAGTAATTTGTTCTCAGCTTATGAACTTTTTTGGAGTGTCCTCGTAAATTTTCTGTTTTGGAAGACAAGAAAAATGAGGGCATATTAGGTGCAAATTTATCACTAAGCAATTTGTAGACTGTAATCAAGTCGCCTCTAGTTCTGCGATATGACAAAGGGAAAAGGTTCAGCTTGGCCAGTCGGACTTCATACGTAAGCTTCGCTATTCCGGGAATCAGCTTAGTCGCCGTTCTCTGAACCTTTTCCAGAAGCTCACTGTCTTTTTTAAGCAGGGGCTAGCCGCTTGTATGCAGTACTCAAGTTTAGGACGAACGAACACTGTATGCAAAGTCAAAAACGTTTCAGCGTCGACATGACTAAAAGCTCTACGTATTGACCATAAGGTTCTAAAACCTTTGGCGGCTATTGCACGGCAGTGTGCAGTAGTCTTTAAGTCTTGACTAACGATAACTCCTAAGTCATTATATGTCTGGACGACAAGTAACTCAGTGTTATTCATCGTGTATGTATCTGTGCCTTGATGACCGATATGCATCACAACACACTTGGAAGTATTTATCGGCAACTGCCATGTTTGAGACCATTCAGATAACTTCTTCAGGTCATTTTGAAGTTCTAAGCTATCACTCTTACATCGTATCGTTCTCCATATCTTGACATCGTCAGCATATAGCAAGACCGATGATGATAGGAGACAAGGAAGGTCATTTACATACAAGAGGAATAGCACTGGCCCCAAAACTGTACCCTGGGGCACTCCACTAAGCACAGTTTCCCAGCTAGATAACTTTGAGTTCACCCTTACTCTTTGTTGACGCCCGACTAAGAAGTCTTTTGTCCACATCAATAAATTGCCTCCAATCCCGACTTTTCTTAACTTATATAACAGCCGGTTGTGCGGAACTTTGTCAAAAGCTTTACTGAAATCAATGAAGGCGACGTCTACAGGTAGCTTTTGGTCCTTAAGAGCGCGCCAGCTTTCACGAGCCACTAATAAGTTAGTGAGACAAGAATAACCTATTCTGAAACCGTGCTGCTTCTCCGAGAGGATCCGGTTTTTATCGAGATACTTAAACAGCTCCTTCCGAATAATCTTTTCTAAGATTTTAACAACCACACTAGTTAGGCTAACGGGGCGGTAGTTCTCAGGTTTGTGTTTCGTACCTGTTTTGAAGACAGGACTTACTATGGCGTTTTTCCAGTCTTTCGGTAAACGACCCTGCGTAACGGATAGGTTAAAGCATGTACTTAAAGGGCTTGCAACGAAGTTAGATAATTCCTTCAGTAGCCTAGGATGTAATTCATCGGGCCCCGTGGATTTACATATGTCAGGCTTATTTAGCAGACCAAAGACATCGAGTTCTTTAATGTTCACGCTATCCAGTGTATGTATGGGTGGATCTGTATACGCTGACGGGAAGGGCGCTTCTATGGTATATACGTTGCTAAAGTAGTTCGAGAACACTTGAGCCTTACCAAAGTCGTCCTCCACTAATGATGAAGCAGTAGTGTCTCCCCATAGAGCAGGAATATTTCCTTTTCTCCTTGTCCTTTGGTTTATATAGGAATACAAGTGTATAGGACATTCTATGGATTCCTTAACAAGTTTAACTTCGTACAATTTTCTAGACTTACGGAGGGTCGAGGCACAAGTATTCCGAGCCTTTCGATACTGATATTTTGACTCATCAGTCCCCAGTAACCTAAATCTATCCCACATTTTCCTTTTCTTACGTAGAAGGATACGGACCTCCCTACTGAACCATGGTGGTGAGTTTTTCGGCCCCTTTGGTATAGTCCAAGGGATGTGAGGTGTGGTAACTTTTATGTATGAATTTCGAAATGCGTCCCAGGCCGTTTCAATAGAGGACTCTGGGTCTATTGTCCAATCTATTAACGATGCTGAGTGCATGATGTCTGGTATGTTTGCTTTCCAGACGTTGGGTCTGGACTGGACTGACGCATGCTCGTGACTGGTAGTTATATGGAAGTCGAAAGTTAAAACTGCGTGATCACTTTTACCCAGGGGTGGCATATAATGGAGGTTCGCAGCGTCATCCTTATAGTGAGTCAGTATAAGATCTAATAAGGATGATTCAGTGTCCGGATCGTACCTTATCGCTTCTTTCACATGTTGCACTAGAGCACATGTGATAACCCCATCAACTAGTTCCTGCTCGAAAGAATTCTCCGACGATTTAGTTCGCAGATTTTCCCAGTCTACCATAGGTGTATTGAAGTCCCCTAGGATTAGACATCGACCACTTTGGGACCAAGTATTGAGACTGCTTAACAGGATCTCATTTACCTCATAGCTTGGACTGCGATAGACCAAATCAATCAGCAGCTCTTGTCCCTTGCATTTTAAGCGAAGACTAACTAATTCACACGTCCTACTCTCATGGGATACACTATCGAAAGGCTCGGAATACTTGTGCCTCGACCCTCCGTAAGTCTAGAAAATTGTACGAAGTTAAACTTGTTAAGGAATCCATAGAATGTCCTATACACTTGTATTCCTATATAAACCAAAGGACAAGGAGAAAAGGAAATATTCCTGCTCTATGGGGAGACACTACTGCTTCATCATTAGTGGATGACGACTTTGGTAAGGCTCAAGTGTTCTCGAACTACTTTAGCAACGTATATACCATAGAAGCGCCCTTCCCGTCAGCGTATACAGATCCACCCATACATACACTGGATAGCGTGAACATTAAAGAACTCGATGTCTTTGGTCTGCTAAATAAGCCTGACATATGTAAATCCACGGGGCCCGATGAATTACATCCTAGGCTACTGAAGGAATTATCTAACTTCGTTGCAAGCCCTTTAAGTACATGCTTTAACCTATCCGTTACGCAGGGTCGTTTACCGAAAGACTGGAAAAACGCCATAGTAAGTCCTGTCTTCAAAACAGGTACGAAACACAAACCTGAGAACTACCGCCCCGTTAGCCTAACTAGTGTGGTTGTTAAAATCTTAGAAAAGATTATTCGGAAGGAGCTGTTTAAGTATCTCGATAAAAACCGGATCCTCTCGGAGAAGCAGCACGGTTTCAGAATAGGTTATTCTTGTCTCACTAACTTATTAGTGGCTCGTGAAAGCTGGCGCGCTCTTAAGGACCAAAAGCTACCTGTAGACGTCGCCTTCATTGATTTCAGTAAAGCTTTTGACAAAGTTCCGCACAACCGGCTGTTATATAAGTTAAGAAAAGTCGGGATTGGAGGCAATTTATTGATGTGGACAAAAGACTTCTTAGTCGGGCGTCAACAAAGAGTAAGGGTGAACTCAAAGTTATCTAGCTGGGAAACTGTGCTTAGTGGAGTGCCCCAGGGTACAGTTTTGGGGCCAGTGCTATTCCTCTTGTATGTAAATGACCTTCCTTGTCTCCTATCATCATCGGTCTTGCTATATGCTGACGATGTCAAGATATGGAGAACGATACGATGTAAGAGTGATAGCTTAGAACTTCAAAATGACCTGAAGAAGTTATCTGAATGGTCTCAAACATGGCAGTTGCCGATAAATACTTCCAAGTGTGTTGTGATGCATATCGGTCATCAAGGCACAGATACATACACGATGAATAACACTGAGTTACTTGTCGTCCAGACATATAATGACTTAGGAGTTATCGTTAGTCAAGACTTAAAGACTACTGCACACTGCCGTGCAATAGCCGCCAAAGGTTTTAGAACCTTATGGTCAATACGTAGAGCTTTTAGTCATGTCGACGCTGAAACGTTTTTGACTTTGCATACAGTGTTCGTTCGTCCTAAACTTGAGTACTGCATACAAGCGGCTAGCCCCTGCTTAAAAAAGACAGTGAGCTTCTGGAAAAGGTTCAGAGAACGGCGACTAAGCTGATTCCCGGAATAGCGAAGCTTACGTATGAAGTCCGACTGGCCAAGCTGAACCTTTTCCCTTTGTCATATCGCAGAACTAGAGGCGACTTGATTACAGTCTACAAATTGCTTAGTGATAAATTTGCACCTAATATGCCCTCATTTTTCTTGTCTTCCAAAACAGAAAATTTACGAGGACACTCCAAAAAAGTTCATAAGCTGAGAACAAATTACTTGTCAGCTGACTATCGACTTTCCCATCGAATCATCAACGAGTGGAACTCATTACCTCAGCACGTGGTTGAGGCTCCATCCGTCGACTCTTTCAAAAGAAAGTTGGATCAACTGAGAGACCACCATTGCCAGGACTAGCATAGGCCATCGAGCCTCCTGTCCTTCCCAAACTGAATCTGATTTAGAAGGGGTTCTTTTTCAAGGTGCGATGATACGCATAAATGAAAAAAATAATCAATGAGGAAAAAATTGAAGAGCTGTAGATTGCTAGGACCAAAGGTACTAACAGATACAGTTGAAAAAGTGGTACTCAAGAGTATCAACGACAAAACTAATTGAGAGAACAGTAAAAACGATACTTTAGTCGAATACTTTAACTGAAATAAATTTAATTAATGTGAAAACAATAGTCTTGATACGTAATAAACGATCAAAACAAAGAAATTTACTCAGCGAGGAAAAATACCACTGTCCTTTTTAAATAGCACACACTGATCATTTGAGAGGACATTCGAAGAAAGTTCAAAAACCGAGATCAAACCGTTTACGTTTGGAGTTCCGTT